TGTGCAAAACACTTTACACTACGTGTCCGGTCTATGTGCTCTCTGGTTAGTGGTTTTATGCGTAGATTGTAAATAACTGAAAAGGTCATAAAACTGGTTTACACCCAATCGTTGGAACTATTGGCAATTGACATTTTGCGTGCTTTAATATAATTATTTATATTATATTTATTTATATTATTTTATATTTTATATTTATATTATATTTTTAATGAACTTGTTTTATCTTCTTTCTCTTTTAGATACTCGACAAATCGTAAATACTTTTAATTTGATTGAAATACTATACAAAACTTAAAAGTTTATACGAATACTTTTATTTGCTGTAAGATAATATTGAGTGTTAGCAGCAATCGCTAGACATAGGGTTTAGGGTGTCTGATATTCGAGTGCTGCCAGCTAAAGGAAATTTACTTGTTCTTGAAACAATCTAATCTGCAAAACGTAAGGTTCTTTATATAAACAGAACTCAAGAAGCATTTAAAGAATAAAAAATAGATTTTTTTAATAACAAAAAATTATTCAAATCAAAAAATGTTTTTTACGTATTACATTGAACTCTAAAAGAAAGTTAATTTAAATAAATATTGGAAAAAAAATAATGGTGTTTGGGTATTTAAATACTTAAGTTTCCATTCAATTTGATTTTACCTATGTATTAAGCTGCATCATCTTCATTAATAGATGTCATAGGAGTAAATTTGAGTAGACAGACCGTAACATCTTCATTGTCAGCTCTGACAGATTTCTTTCTTTGGCTTTAATGAAGGAGCCACGCTTTATATGGAGTATGCCCCTACGCATACTCATATATATTCATGTTTATATGTTTATTCGTCTAAAATCTGATATAGAATGTGATAATACGCGTGCCACACGCCAGAAGCGGGCCACAACTGACGGTCTGGCATCTGGTCAATAATATTGCCAGACAATATTCGATTCAATCTTCAGAATTGAGATCTTCTTTAGGGCTATACTTGGTGGAGGCAGCAGGGGGCGAGAGTCTAGGGCGGGAATCATGTTGCGCACTTTCACCGCGAAAATGAATTTCGAGGTAAACAAGTGAAGATTATGCATAAATGAACGTATCGATATATACATACGCATATATAGATATACACACACACACACACATGTATGAGATGATAATTGATGTAGCACTCGTTGCCGAATGAACCGTTAAATTTAAATTGGAGCAGTGCCCCAATATCCAGGCAATACGCGCGGCGCACGGATTAACACCTTTCAACGAGGCTGCGTCGAGACGTTGATGTTCTAGATACTGATGCCAGTGGTAGTACCCACATTTCTCTTGCATTAGCACCCATCACACACACACACACACATGTGCACATTCGTATATATATGAAAATATGACTAGATTATTGGAATTGGATTTGAGATTTTGTGGCAACTGGCTTCAAGTTCTGCATTTAGTTAACGTGTGGACACCCAGCCGAGCGGCAGCTGGCACGGATTAGGAATAAGCAACAGTTCTATCAAATATACACACACACATATATAGAATGCTGGAATATACCGATATGTCAATGAAGAAGCAACGAAATTGCGTGCCGGGCATATGGACTCTGATCGTAGCCGTGCTGCTCTTTGCCATGACCCTAATGGGCGTTGCTCTGCTGGAGGCGAATCGTGCCCAGTCGGATGAGCATCGCGTTCTGGGTGACGTTTTCCTAGTGCGACGTCTGTGGTCGAAGTTTGCCGCAGCCACAAACGCATCGGACGGCGCAGTTGCAGCCACTGTGGAGCGCATAGCGAGGGATGCCATGAATGCCAGTCGGACTGCAGCAACTGGCGGGAGTAACAACTACTATGAGGAGCAGCAGGCGGTGGTTGTGAAAGAGGAGAACGCACCGCCGGCTATGGCCGAGCGCATAGATTCGTTTGGACCACCGCAGGGCAGATCATACGAAATGGACTCCAGCTACGATGCGGCTGACGATTATGGCGGAGAGCGCTTTGACTCGGCGGAGGAGGCAGACGAGGGCAGAGCGGCCCAGGGCAGACCCCAGGATTCCTACTATGCGCCATGGCAATATGCCACCCAGACAACGGCGCCTCCCGGCAGCAACAATCGCAAATTGCAGCCAGCTGGCAATCGGTAAGAAATAGAAAAGCAACTGCCCTTCCATTGGCTAAGTCCAAGCTTAATATTGATTCATTGCATGTGCAGCCCGCCCTATGCCGCCTACGACGAAGTGTATGACTATCCCATGGGCTTTCAGCCGCGCCCCCAGGAGCAGCCAGTCTCCAAACAGGCCGTGAGCGCTCCACCTGCCCACGCCGTCGCCTATGCGCCAGCATCCACGGAATCATCGCTGGTCACGTTCTTGAAGACACTGAAACAAATGTGGGATCTCTATCAGGCCGTGATCAGCGCCTGGAACTCGGTAGCCGAGCGGCATCAGCAGAGTACCGAGCAGCTGAAGAAGGAGCGGCAGGAGAAGCAACGCCTGCGCCAGCAGCAACAGCAGCAGCAGCAAGCGAATAAATCCAGAATCAATTCCAAGAAACCACAACGTGGAAATGGTAACAAGGATGCAAAGCCGAATCAAAACAAGAGGGTTAAGACGACGACAACGACAACAACGACGAGTACCAGCAGCAGCAGCAGCAGCAGCAACTCCGATGAGGCGGAGGAGGCAACAACCACTTCAGTTGCAATCGTAAATGCTGTCAAGGCCAATGCCACTGCGGATGCTGCTCAAGAGAGCTCGGTGCGTGGCATGCGGCACAAGCGTGAGCCGGAGGCAGCCAGCACGGATGTGGGCGAGGGGCGTTACATCAAGGGTGATCCGCTGAAGGGCTATTATGATTTCGTCATCACCGAAGGCTCCTACAAGTTCTGGGCCGCCTTTCAGGTATGTCAGAGAATTGAGAATGGGAGAGCCCCAAAAATATGACTCTCTCTTAATTCGCAGGTGGGCACGGCACTTCTTATCATCTACTCCACATTCGCTGCCATTTACTACTCGAAGGTAAATCCATTGACCAGCGATTACGATTATCAGGATTATCTGGGTGCCGGACGCTCGATGACGGGCGGCGATGATGATTTCGTGGATGACAGTGAGCCAAGTACTCAAACTAAGTCCACTTCGCGTATTATGGATTGGCTACCACGTACAGCTCATTCGCTGAAATTCATACTGGATGCCATCGATAAAATGCCCTTGGATCATGGTCAAAAAGAGGAAACGGGCTGGTCAACGGGGAACAGCGATACAACAGACGATGCAACAGGGGCAAGCACTTAGGACAACTATTTTAAAATATTAATGAAATAAAAATAATTTAAAACCAAATCTAGAATTAATAGCTTATTTATTTATTCATTGTTTACTTAGCTTGAATATTTCACAAATCATGAGAAAAGAGTGAATTAGCGTCTTTAATTACCACTATGCCAGATAATTAAATCAATTCATTCAAAAAAGAAAGCTTTTCTATAATGATGATGAAATTATGAATAATAATTTTTAATTAATATACACCTAAACAAAAATGTAATTTTCCCTCCACTGTTAAACGGTATTCAGAAACAGAAATTCCGTTTATATGAGCCGCCAATTTCAAGAATATTTGTTATTGGAAAAAATGTAATATGTACACACTTTTTGCCATTCACGGCGTGGCGTGAACAAATAACATTCTCAAATCAGCTGAAAAAAGCATATGTTTATTTTTTTTCTTGACGACGTGTATTTTGCGCTTGCAATGACAATAAAATTGTAAATATCCAAAACATAATAAATTTAAAAATAAATTAAATTGCAGCACAAAATAAGCCAAGACCATGGACCATAAAATGCTGCTGCTCTTGCTGCTGGTCGCTGTAGCAATAGCGCACGATGCCAAAGACTTTGATGATTCCGTGCTCTACAAAATAGATTTCGAAGTGCCTAATTTATTAAGTGATCCGGTAGGTGAAAATAAAGTGTTGTTGCTGTAATATAAATACTAATGAGGTTTTCCATGCATTAAAGGAGTTGGGCAGTCAGCTGCGTACCTTTTATACACAAGAGAAGGAAAAATACGAATGTCTAATACCAGAGCTGGAGACGCCCAAGGAGGAGGAGAAAGCCAACCAGCCGGAGCTGTGTAAATATTGAATACATATCTTCTTTAGCAGACTCTCAATTATATTAAATTACTTTCTCACATAGCTCCAATTGCGCTCCTGCAGCCAATCTTCTCGGCAGCCACCTGCTCGTTCCGAATTGAAGCCTATTGGTCGTATGAGATCTGCCATGGCCATCATGTGCGTCAGTATCACGAGGAGCGCGAAGGCAAAAATGTGAAGTTCCAGGAATACTATTTGGGCAAATGGAGTGAGGAGAAAACTGAACTGGCTAAAAAGACCTGGGAGCTGGAACGTAAATCCGAGGGCAAGCCAAAGTACAAGACGTTGAAGATCGATAATACTAGATATCCATACTTTGAAATGGAGTTCACCGATGGAACAATGTGTGATATTATTGATGCGCCGAGAACGACAATGGTGCGCTATGTCTGTTATCCACATGGCAAGGATGACATCTATTCATTCAAGGAGACCTCGTCGTGCAACTATGAAGCTATTATTTTGAGCTCAACGCTTTGTGCTATACCTGCTTTTCATGCTGAGGAGACCAAAGAGATATCCATCAAGTGCTTCAATTCACAAACGGATCCACATAAACCAATTAGTATGCTCCGCCAAGAGCTGAGCGAATGGGAGGAGAGTGAAAACGATTTGCTTGTGTCGAAGGAGAGCAAAGCACCTGCCAAGTTGTGGTCCAAGACAGATGGCGATATGGTTACATTCAAGTACAGCGGGGATGTGGATAAAATCATATTGGAGCTGATGGCGAATGGTGATATTGATGTGGAAAATGATTATCAACACTTGATTTCGCGATCCGCACCAGGCACTACTCCAGCGCCTTTGAATGATCTGACACCCATCAAAGAATTCATTTCTGGCAAGAATTGTCTAACTGGAGTAAGTAGCTAAAAATATACACAATATCTTCATTTACTTATCCCTCTTCCCGGCAGGGCACCGGCTGGTGGAAGTACGAATTCTGTTATGGCCGGCATGTGCGCCAATTCCATAAGGATAAAAATAGCGAAGTCGAATTGTTTTTGGGTTACTTCTCTGAGGAATCGCATCGCTTGTGGGCCAGTTCAAATCCCGATAAAGGTGCACGTCGTCCAGGTTTCACTTCATCCTTATGGCATCACTATGAGAAGGGCACACACTGCGATCGCAGCGGTCTGCCACGCGAGGTGGACGTTAAGCTAACTTGCACTCCAGTCACCACCAGTGGCACAGCGGTCTCCATGTACTTACTGGAGCCGAAGACATGTCAGTATATTCTAGTCGTAGAGTCGCCCATCATTTGTGATCTCATGCATTATGCGGACGACAGTGGACTTGTGACGGCAGAGAGCTTGCAAAAGTTTTTGGCAACTGATAAGCCAGCCCCGACAGTTCCATCTACTGAACGAAAAGCTGAAGCGGAGGAACAAATACGATCCTAAAGTTTATTGTAAATACAAACTCACGAAAATATATGCTAAGGGGTACTCCCCGGTACTATCTGGACTAAATTCATAAGTGTAAGTTTCATA